TTGGTGTTTTGAATGTTGGTATAATCAGTGATATTTCCACTGTCAGGTGAGACTATATTCTGCTATATTTCGTTTTTCTGAGCCAAAAAACTCGCAAAAAAGCAGTTACAAACTTAACACTTAACTTATATCACCTTATACTGTCAAGTGAATATTATTGAACAATAGCAGTAAAATACGAACAATGATCAATCCTATGCACGCTAGCAAGGTCATTGGGTGGCGCCATTACAACAAACGGTACAAATATACAAAATTTGGTCGGAACAAAATGTTATAAATAATCGAATTATTAACTAATTAATGCACAGTCACTGAGAGCTGAAGGTTTGAAAGCTGCATTCAGCCAGTAATTTCTAACCGGGTTTGTAGCGCCGAGTTTAGCGTTACTATACAGTTGTAGATTATGATGTCGTATGCGTAGCCAAAAGACATAGACAAAGACAAGTCAGAGAATATATACCATGACTGATGTTGCTTTTAATTTGCTTCACTACTGTTCTCTTTTACAGATGTAAGGGCGGTTGCGTCTGAAGTCGGGAGCGAGTTCCCCGAGACAGCTCGCGCAGCTGTTTTTATGGGCGCCCCTCCACGCGCGTGGCAAATGGTCACCCACGTGCCACGCGCACCAACCACCGCGTCCGTCGCATCCGCGTTCGCTTGGCTTCACCACGTTCGCATTGGACGGTGGCGGCCCCTAACGGGAAAGACCCGCTATTCTGCCGTACCAGCGTCCGGGAGGTGGCTCCGTCTATCCGCACAAACGCGTCACGAGCGTTCAACATGGCCGCCGCTGCCAGCGTTGACAGGCCTTCACGGTGCATTTAGCACATGTAATCCAGCTGACCCTGCCAGCCGGCGAAACCCCACGGTCGAGCGGTTCTAAAGTCGGTCCGCATCAGCCGCGGCACATCACTGGGTCTCGCTTCCAAGCTAGAGCCGGCACCACTAATCACGTCACGTACACGCCGCTAATTGGGGAGGGTGGTGTTAATCCCCTGACCAGCTGGCGTGGGTGCTGGTGACATAGCGGGTACTCCGGCAGCGTGTCACAGCGTGGGCGGGCTGCCATCTTGGTTTGCTCCGCTCGTTTGGCCAGCGGCCGTATTGATCGCTTGTGGTTGCTAGGGGCAACGCCGCAGAACAAATGGCCCGCAGGCCGTATTGATCGCGGTGGTTGCTAGGGGCGACGCCGTAATGTCATGCCTCCGTCGACCGCGTAGCGCGTCGCGTGTGGGCCGCGTCGCGTGTGAGGGGGGAGAGTGCCCTGTAACACGTGGTCGTTATAGTTTTATCTATTGCAGGTGTCAGACAGTATGCGCCAATTATTGTATTCAACAAACGGTGGCGACAGGATGCGACGCTTGGCACGTGACACCTAGCGCATAAGACGCTACACATATAACGTGCGACGACAATAGACGGGCGCGCCTCCCATATCGCCTTGCGCCGGGGATGGGTGACGCGACGCGCCACACGTACTAGCCAAGGTTCGGCCGATAATGACGAAAATTGAAAATGTCGCCGGGCGGTTTTCGGAAACGTATAAATAGGCACGGACGAAAGATCATAAGTTAGGAATTACCCAGAGGAAGAAACGAAAGACGTTGTAACGGAGACAGACGAAAACAGAGATGACGGGACCTATGCTTTGGTGCCGTAGTGTATATATATTTGTATTGTGTTTTACTAATAAAGTCAGTCGTCAAGAACAATTTCTGCGACTACATCTTTTTGACGCTGCTACGATGCCGGAGCGGAGATCAACATTTTTTCCCCAGTACAATAAATATATGGATGGTTGCATGGATATATAGATAGATTGATTGATATGTAGATAGGTAGATTGATAGATAAAAAGCTTGATTGATTGATAGATACACAGATAGATCGATCAATAGATAGATAGATTGATTGAATGACCATTCGCAGTTAGTTAATGCTTTCTTAATTCTGTGTACACACAAGATTTATATCTCAACAGCTGCTTAAAATTATATTAAAAATTTTGTAGGTTGTGCATTCGTGTACGTAGTTCGTTCTAAAGAATATAAAACGCGAGCTATAACGAACTTCAGCAGTAAACCCGATTCCTGCAAACTTTTAAACGGTTAGCAATGGCAGAAGAAAGAAGGAAAGGAGACCGACCGGGTTCCATGCGAAATTCTAGAGCAACTCTATTTGCATCGCTATGGCAACGGCATTGCCGTGAAAGATTTATTTGATTACAAGTAGATCGCTGCCATGGAAAGTGTGCAAGTACTTCATTATCAAAACAGAATCCAAGACAAATATATTGCATGTAAAAAAAAATTTGAAATTACACGAAAGTCAATCATTTATTTATTTGAAAAATACATATTATGTTCATATCAGCAATTCATTAAGTACTTGTGATATCACAATAATTTACAGCAAGTGATACATACATAAATAACATAATATGTACAAATAACATAATACAAAATAAATGAAAGTATGAATAATTGAATGAATAAATAAATGTAATAAATAAACTAATCATTAATTAATTAATGCACAGTCACTGACAGCTGAAGGTTTGAAAGCTGCATTCAGTCCGTAATTTCTAACAGGGTTTCTTATCGCACGTGTTGAGCCAGTAGGTCCCAAGCTTCAATAAACGAGCGTTTGATATCTGCTACAGATACAGGCCACTCTTTACTGACCGACTCCTCCATCTTCTCCCACAGCTCCTCAGCGCTGAACTTTATAAGTCCGCTCTCACTCACCAGCGGACCGCTATCAAGACGTCTCAGTAACTCATCCACGTGCCGCTCACGCAAATACGCGACCGGCACGTGTGAGATTGTTTTATTGCAGTCCTCGGCCAAAACATTGAAATTATCAATATATGGATGAGGCATGTTGCGCTGATTTGCACACGATTGTACATACTCAAATATGTTACGCACGATTACTGGGAACGGCAACGGATCCGCTGGGTTGAGTGATGCGACACGAAGCAGCGCAAGTTTTAGGAGGTAGGAGTCGATCAGTTTCCTAGGCTTAAAGCGAGTGGCGATATACAGCTGAATAACGTCTATGTTAACTGTACGTAAATATGTAACGTCACTGTCTGTAAACAACTCATTCTTATTCAATATGTTTGTACACTTATCATCACAATCATTTACTCGAAGATCAATAAATGACTTTGCTGTGATTAGAGCCTGGCGATAAACTGGATGTAAACGTTTGATCATATTGCTTTCCGCTTCTGTCATACAGACGGACCAGTACGTATTATCTGTGTCCACGCCAGGCTTGGGTACCACGTGGTAGTGGTTATCAGGAAAGTTTGTTGCGCCAGCTGGCTTGCCCGAGATTCGTACTCCCGGCGTGCAATCTACCGATATAGGTAGATATCTAAAATGTCCGCCGCCAACAAATTTTAGATTAAATTGAGTGCACACTTTGTTCCATGCCAAAATATTAGATTTTTTTGTTTTGAATGAACGCTTTTCGTTTTTCATGACTTTCGATACAGCCCTGCACAATAGCTTAACAAATTCTTCCTTTAGATTTACCGAAATATGCTGGTTTGAGTTTTTCTCGCGAATTGTTACAAAGCCAGCTGTATTAGATTTTGTGTTTTCAATAATTACATTTTTTGCATATCTATCGATTTCGAATAGGAAGTCGTATTCGTCCGGCAGACCAGCTTTTGTGCGGTTGGCCGTGCTGCCTATCAGAATGGGCGTGCAGGAGAAGTCACTGTCTAAGACTTTCATCTCCTCGCAGACTCGCTTCATCAGGTCTAGCACGGCGTCCCGCATTTTATCGCATTCCTCCTGATACTCTAATCTTCCCAAGCCTGGCGTCTCCCATATATCAGACAGTGACGTCACACCACTAACATTACAGGGTGATATCTCACGTTCTATGTCACAATAACAATGGTTGGGCAGCTCACGGACAAAGCATTCGTGCGCCAGTATAGTGCCGACGGATTCTCTATAGCCGTCGTTGATGGTGACGTCACGGGCACGATCTACGGCCACCTGGTACGCTGTTTGCACGTCCTCATGATGCCACGCCCTTATTGTATCCAATAATTCCGTCACAATGCCTACGTGACCGCCGTAGGCAGCCCATGCCAACACCGTCCAGCCATTGCTACTGTGACTCTCCTCCACACGCGCTCCTGTTTCTAGTAGCTCCGTGACACACAATGTATGACCGCTATTGGCAGCATGCATCAACGCCGTCATGCCATTCACGTCCACGTGTTCTATGTTAGCGCATGCACCAAATAACGCTGTGAGCGTATCCGTATGACCTCTAGCAGCTGCTCTCATTACTGCGGTGTTGCCATCACCGTCCGTGTAATCTATGTTAGCGCCCGCATCTAACAACGCTGTGACCGTATCCGTATGACCGTAAGTAGCTGCTGCTATTACTGCGGTGCTGCCCACCACGTCCGCGTGTTCTATGTTAGCGCCCGCATCTAACAACGCTGTGACCGTATCCGTATGACCGTAAGTAGCTGCTGCTATTACTGCGGTCCTGCCCCTCCCGTCCGCGTGTTCTATGTTAGCGCCCGCATCTAATAACGCTGTGACCGTATCCGTATGACCTCTAGCAGCTGCTGCTATTACTGCGGTCCAGCCCCTCCTGTCCGCGTGATCTATGTTAGCGCCTGCACCTAACAACGCTGTGACCGTATCCGTATGACCGCTACCAGCTGCTGCTATTACTGCGGTCCTGCCCCTCCCGTCCGCGTGTTCTATGTTAGCGCCTGCATCTAACAACGCTGTGACCGTATCCGTATGACCTCTACCAGCTGCTGCTATTACTGCGGTCCTGCCCCTCCCGTCCGCGTGTTCTATGTTAGCGCCTGCATCTAACAACGCTGTGACCGTATCCGTATGACCTCTACCAGCTGCTGCTATTACTGCGGTCCTGCCCCACCTGTCCGCGTGTTCTATGTTAGCGCCTGCATCTAACAACGCTGTGACCGTATCCGT